GATTTATAAAGTGTGAGTCACAAGTTCCAGCTGTGGTCCACTGGGCATGAGTCCAGCCAGTGACCTTCTCCTCCAGGCAGGGCAGACAGCGTGCAGAGGGAGGGCAGAGGGAGGTCATGCCCACCCGTCCTCACTTCTCCCCAACATGAGGGGCTCCTCAACACTGGGGGAGTGGGAGACAGACGTGACCTGGCAGCCCTGAGGCAGAGGTCAACACAGGCGTCGAAAGGAACCCAACTCTGGAGCAACCAGGGGAGGCCCCCTGGAGGAGGAGAGCTGTAAGGTAGGCGATGACCCGACTTTAAGAACAAGCAGCAGGGCACCCCATAAAGAGTGTGGGGCTTTCCAGAAGAAGTGACTGGCTTGAGACAGGAAAATGACAATACGGGTGTTTGGACTTGACTGTCACATGGGTGTGGAAGAGGAATGTGAGAGGAAAGAGACAAAAGAGGTCACCAGAGGCAGGACACAAGGACCTATGGGCTGTCTAAATACTCACCCTTTCATCATGGAAGCAATAGGGAGCCTTTGATGAATTGTGAAGGAGAGCGAGGGACTGGGAGGAGCATGATTGGTTCTGCATTTCTGAGAGGTCTGGCCACAGTGCTGAGCAGTTTTCTTAGATAATATCATGACCCACCAGGATTTGCCAGAGGACCAGCATGAGTAGGTGTGTGTACTAGTTTCCTATTGCTGCTGTAACAAATGACCCCTAGTCAGTGGCCTACGACAACAGAAACTTCTCTTGAAGTTCTGGAGGTCAAAAATCTGGAGAGGGGTGTGTGGGACTGAGATGAAGGTTCTGGAGGCAAAACAGGACCAGGTCCCCCTGCCCCTTGCAGCTTTTGGAAGCTGCTCAAAACCCTTATAGCAACAACACTCTAATCTCTGCCCCCGCCCCCCGCCCCGTGGGCACATGGCTTCCTCCTCCCCCTGGTCAAATCCCCCTCTACTTCCCTTTCACAAGACACCTGTGATGGCGTTGAGCCCACCTGCATGGTCCAGGATCGTCTCCCCATCAACATCATTAACTTAGTCATATCCACGAAGTCCCCTTTTCCATAGAGAGTAATATTCACATGTTCTGGATTTCCAGGTATATTGGGGGGGCATCCTTCTCCACCCACAGTGAGTCATTTCTTAGACACTGACTGGGTACCACTCTCCACGTTAGGGATCTTGCAGCAAACAGGCGAGCTCGGTGCCTGCCCTCGTGGAGCCTGGAGCAGTCCCTGGCGTGTCCTCTGCCATCTGCCGAATGGCTGCCATTGCACGCTGGGCAGAGGAGCGGAGGGCATGGGTATGAAGTGGGGGAGGGGTGTGACATACTTAGAACCTGTGGCTGTCAACACTGACCAATCAGGAGGACTCAGTGCCGGACTGTCCTCAAAGACCCCAGCTGTGCCAGTGGTTAAGTCTTTGATGGCTGCAGCACAGGAAGGTCCAGTGGTCCTGGGGGAGAGGCCAGGGCAGGGGGATGGCCCTGTGACTACTAATGAATCAATAAGGAAGTATTTAAATATTTAAGTTCTTAAATAAAATTCATAAATATCTTAATCCATAGAGGTGGTGGGCAGAACATCAGCTCCAGTTGTGGGGAGGGGTCCCGGGGGTTTGCTTTGAATGCTTCACTTGGGGTGGCACTTAGGTGGAGCCAGGAGGGGGCAGGGAGCCGAGGTTTGTGGCCTGGAGTGGGGAGGGACAGTGTGGGCAGCAGGGGCGGGCGACCCACCCCCACACCGCCGTCCTAATACCTGGAAGAGTGCGTCACTGAGCGGGTTCCTCTTCTTCAGCATTGATGGAGTGTGAACAATTCCACCACCTTCCTTTCTTTCCCCTTAACTTTCCCCTAAGCAGTTCTGTATTTTCCTTAAAAGCCCTTTTATTATAGAATAAAATGTACCCGTCATCTAACTGCGTTGACTCGAGCCAGCTCTCAGGGCTGCAAATCAGCCAGCTCCCGGATGGCTCCTTTGTCCCTTCCTGTGGCATTCAAGATCTGGAAAGGGGTCTCAATCCCCAGGCCCTGGCCACTCTGGAAACAAGGGGGAAGGTTCCAGCATCTCCTGTCCCCCCTCCCCAGCCACAGAGCTGGAGATACCGGTGGGCAGTAGAGATACAGGGGAAAGGTGGCATTGGAAACTGCAGACTGACTTCCACTAGAAGGAGTGAGGGAATGTCACAGCTTGGTGAGCTAAGTAAAACTGGGACTCTTCCACCCACTTTGTTGCTGGGTAAACTGAGACCCAGAGCTGTGAACATGACCAAGTTTCCTAGAGCGTTTATAGAAAGATCGATCAGGCGTGGTGGAGGTGCCATCTGTTTTGCCACACTGGCCCACAGTGGGGGTCCTCCTAACACAGTGGGGGTCCTCCTAACACAGTGCACGCAGCTCTGCATGGACGCTGCTCATCCTACAGCGCCTTGCAATCAGCGGACACTCAACACCCATTCACTCCACGAGCATGCGTGCAGGGCGTCCTCCACAACCAGGCAGGGAGCACAGTGCAGAAGCAAGCCCCTTGGCCCTCCAGGAATGTTCTAGTGGGAAAACAGGCAGCGTGCAAGGGAAGACATAGCAACAGTGAGGTAAAGGACACTAAAGGCAGAGAAGGGACCAGGGCGGTGGGACGTGCTGTGGCCAGGAGTGAAGGAAAGGGCTCTCTAAGGTGGAATCTGACCAAAGTAAGGGGAAGGCTGTGAAGATCTCTAGGGATAAGGCATTCCAGACAGAGCTCTGGAAAGGACAGAGGCCTGGGCAGTGCTTGGCCAGTTACAAAATATCAGGCATCCAGAGCCACCAGGAGGAAGGGAGGAGTGGGCAGGGTGGGGTGGCAGGGATGAGGCCAGGGATGGATGAGCCTTGGGAGAACAGACTCTCAATTCAGACCTCGAGTCAGCTACATGCCTGGGAGAAGTCAGCTCACCCTCTGTCTCCCATGACTCATATATAAAGGGGCATTCAACAGAGGTACCCAACTGTCATGGTTTAGATCTCAACTGCAATGTCCCCAAGGGCCATGTGTTAAAGCCTTGGTCCCAAGCTTGGTTCTTTTGGGAGGTGGTAGGCCCTTTAAGAGGTGGAGCCAACTGGAAGTTTTCTTACATAATATCATGACCCACCAGGATTTGCCAGAGGACCAGCATGAGTGGCTGTGTGTATTAGTTTCCTATTGCTGCTGTAACAAATGACCCCTAGTCAGTCCAGAGGTGGAGCCAACTGGAAGGAAGTTAAGTCACTGGAGGAGGTGGAAGGAGTATCCTTAAAGGGAAATCTAACCCCACCCCTCCTTTCTCTCCCTTTCTCCTTTCTGGCAGTGGTGGGGTAAGCAGTCTCTTCCACCACATGCTCCCACCACCATGATGTGCTGGGTTGCCACAGGTCCAAAAGCTTCAGGGCCAACCATAGACTGAAACTTCAGAAACCATGAGCCCAAATAAACTTCTCTTCTTAATAAGCCATTTGTCTCAGGTGTTTTGTCACAGTGATGAAAAGATGGATAACACACCAACTTGAGGGTTATGCCCTAAAGAGTCTGGACTAAGAATCAAGAGCACTTAATGGAATCTGGACCCCCTTCCAGTGGAACAGAGGAAGAGGATTGATGGAGCAGGAGGGGGGATGGGATAAGGGAAGAACAGTGGAATAAATCTGACCCAACTTTGCCATATACATATATATGAATATACCACAGTGAAGCTCACCATCATATGTAGCCACAAGACACTAATCAGAAAAAAATATATATAAGTAAATAACACAGGGATCAGTAGAATGGACAGAAGGGAACTGGGGGAGGGGTGGGGGGGAGGGAAGCACTGGGAACTGAATTAGAGTAAATTCTATTCCATGCTTTTATAATTATGTCAAAATGAATCCTGATGTCATGTATAACTAAAAAGAACCAATAATAATATTTTTTTTTTAAAAAAAGAGCACATCATGGAGTCCTATTTCTGCCATTTTCTAGCTAATTAACTTTGGACAGGTCACATCACCTCTCCAAGCCTCTCTCTCCTCATTTGTAAAATGGAAATCACGATGCCTGCCCTGCCCATCTCGAAGGATGGTGGTTCGTATCCAGCCACATAGTCCCTGTAAATGGGAATGGCTTTTAAACCTCGTGTGTCATACACAAAGCAGGTTTGTGGAATACCTGTGCAGGTGAGACCTGAGATTCCCATCCAGAGGGCTCAGGTCTGGGGTCTTCCTGGGGCAGCCATTCTCAAGCCTCCACAACTTTCTATAGACCATTTTCTTTGACTGGGATGCCCTCTCCTGTGCCCCAACGCCTACTCAACTGCCTGGAGAACTCCTATTCATCCTGCAAAACCCAATATGTATGTCACTTTGGAGGACAAGCCTTTCTGAATCACGTACTCTTTCTTTGGAGATGACACAGGTCCTTCTTTCCAAGGTGCAGTCCTGGATGTTGTATGTACTTGTCTCATGTAGACCAGGAGGGCCCTCCATCCTGACAGGCCTCAGCATCTAGGTTATCTCTGCTTCCCCAGAACCCAGAATAGGACCTGGCACACAGTAGGTGGTCATGAAACTTTTATTGGCAGGAAATGTCTTGGAGGAGACAGCCCTTCAGTTTGCCTTGAAACTCAAAGGAGTTGGGTCATCTGCCTAAGTTGGACAGGTGGGGGTGGGAGAGCGGCCACTGTGTCGGTGGCCACTCTGGAGAGAGAGGAAGCCCAGGCGGCCACATTTCCAAACTCAGTGAACATTACAAATGACCACATTAGTGAGACAGCCGTTTTTAGAGGTTCTCCTATTGACCCGCCTGAGAAAGCCTCTAAATTTAGTGCCCCCCTCCCCCAAAAAAAAACCCAGGCTGGGGAATCTGCAGCCTCACAAATGGGCCACGTTGGGGAGGAAGCTGAATTCGATTTGCATGTCAGAGGCGCGTTATCTGGTACCTGATGTAAGACTAATTTCATTATTAAATGATCCACACTGATTTACTGAGAAATACGGTACTGCCGGGAGCTATTTTTAACCTCCCGCCTCAGCCCCGCTCAGCAAACAAATCATCCTTTGAAGGACACTGCATTTGCAAAAGTGAATTAGGTGAATAAATATCCATCTATTCATGAAGTTTCTTTATGGAGAAATAAATAAATAACGGCCTGAATGCCTTCATTGTCCCCCCACCCCACCCCCGCAGGCAGTTCTCCAGGAGGATGACGACTTCTGCAGAGCCGGCAGCAGGGGCGGCCCAGGGTGGCGCTGTTCGTGGAGGGGTGTGTCGGCCTGGGGACCCGGTGAGGCCCTGCTGGCTGGACAGAGCAGGTAGGGACTCCCTGTGACTTCCCCAGGCCCAGCCCGCCTCAACAGGGAGCCTGCAGGGTCCTGCCCTGGAACTTGCCAATCTCTGGTTCTGCAGCTTACTCTCTGCGGAAGCTGGGCAACTTCCTTCACCTCTCTGTTCTTCAGTTTCCTCCTATAAGAACTGAGGATGATTCTGACCTCATCGTTGAGGGTGTGGGAGGTTCAATGAGACATGTAACACAATATCAAGCCACAAAGCAAGAAACCCCTAAATGCTTTTTTTTTTTTATAATTATTGTTATAGACCTCATTTTTGATGAAACTGGGAGAGGTTAAAAATAGAAGTCTCCAGGGGGCAGCCCTAGGATATCTTGGAAGGGGGTGGGCCTTGGAATCAGACATGGATTCCTGGAGCTGCAACCCAGAGCTGTGTGCCTCTGGGCAAACTATTCAACCTTTCTGTTCTCCAGATTCCAAGAAACAAGAAAAATGACACCCACCTCTGCAAGGAAAAACTGAGATCATGAGTGTGAGCCATACCGTGTGACACCTGGCAGGAAACTATGGCACCTGCTCGATAAACTATGGAGGCTAGTAAGAGGGTCACTCTTATCAAGCTTAATACAGTCGATCAGCCACTCAAATACTTGATCGCATTCTTAACACTTTCTTTTTCCTCTCCTTCTCCTCTGTTCTTCAAAATTGGTGCTCCTCTTGGCTACAATGAGAATCGAAAATCGTACCTCAATAAAATTTTCTTTCTTTTTTCTTTTTCTTTTTTTTTTTTTTTTTTTGTAGAAGAAAGCAAAGAAACTACCCTGAAGGACAAAGATGTGCCCAATTTCTGATTGATGGCATCTAGAATTAAAATTGTGATACCTCGTTTATTGTGGGTTATATTCATTTTATGTTTTAAAGATTTCACTATTTATCTCAGCTAGTGAGTGTTTGGGTAACCCCTTAATGTTGCAGTTCACCCTAGTCCATGTGGCTGCAGAATCAGGCAGAGGAAGAGAGTGGGCTGGAGGGAGCAAGGTCAGATCACAAATGGCCAGTCCCCTGGGTTTGGGAATTGGAGGTGATTATGTGAGTGCAGGACAGAAAGTGAAGAGTGATTTGATGTTGCTCAGGCTTCCTTTGCCCCAGGCTTCTGGGAGGGGAATGAGGGAGAGTTAATTAGGAAAACCCTGGCTGAGCTCCTGCCCCCAGCAGCTGTTGGCAAACACCTATTAACTGCTGGCTTCTCCCACAGGGGAAACAATTCCTTGCTGTTTGAGGGCTTGGACCACGGGATTCCTAACTTGGCAGCCCCGTTATTCTAGCAATATGAATGGAGGCAGCTGACAGTCGGCAGTGAAGACCAGATAGTCAGCTTACGGGTCTTCAGGAGTAACACACATCTTACAGAGCAGCCGGCACGGCCCTCTAGACCAGGAGCTCAGTATTAAACCTGAAGAGTTGTCGCATGCTCCAAGCTGGATGGATGGTGGCCTTGCTCCTCCACTTCCATAAGAACCCTCTCTCGTGAGTTACCTGCAGCAAGAGCAAGACACGGAGCCAGGTGTCTCCCTCTACAGCCACATCTCCCAACATCGATGCTGAAACTACTGCATGGAGCCATAAAACTCCTTCCAGAAATTGGGCCACACGTGCCAGGTGGCCAGCTGAGCAGAGGGTGCAGCATCAGGCCAGGGACCACCAGAAACTTGGACAAACTCACACACGTGACTCTCACAATTCAATAAACTGCATCACAAGACACACACAGTCCCCAGACTCCTGCCTCCCCCCACCCTCCCACCTGAACCTGAGATTGAACCCAGAGGCATTTAACTACTGAGTCTCATCTCCATCCCTTTTTTATATTTTTTTAATTTATTTTTAGAGACAGGGTCCCGCTGAGTTGCTGAGGCTGGTTTTGAACTTTCGATCCTCCTGCCTCAGCCTCCGGAGCCATGGGGATTACAGGCGTGCACCACCAGACCCGGGGAGCTCCTATCTTTTTTGAAAGGGTGGCAGGATGCCTTTGTGAAGTGTTGTAGCTCAGAAAAGGAGCCAGGCCCCCAGCCTCTTCTGCTGTTTATCGAGGGAAACTTGAACTAAACTCAGTTCAGCTTCACCCGCGGAGCTCATTCTCGGATGCCAGTCACCTTCTCGAGAGTGGGCCTCTGACAATCACAGGATGTCATGCTAACCACTGGGCTGGCTCCTCAAGGCAAAGCTGGGTGACAGATGGCCCCACCTCTGTCTCTCTCAGCAAGTGGCTGTTCAGAGAAAGCAAGAAAGGGAGGGGTAGAGGCTGCAGGAAGCTCTTCCATGACCGGGAGTTCTCTGGGTAGAGATTGGCTCGTCTCCCAGCACCTACATAGGCCTGGCACCCAGGAATGTAGTGAATGCGGAGATGCTGGAGGGACGGGTGGATAACAGGTGGGTGGATAGTGGATGGACAGATGGATGAATAGATAGTGGATGGGTGGACTGTCACCCAAAGATGCAAGCGTTTACTTGGTCCTCAGTGTGGCAGATAACAAGACGTAACAGGACTGAGACCAGTTGCTTCACTGATGTTGGTCTATCCCTTCTGCGGGTAAGTGGTGAGTTAGAACGGACCCCCCTCCCCCTATGACCAGGGGCATTGCAAAAACCAAATGCAGAGGAGCACAGAGCTGGCTGTGACCTCACATGCTGGAGAGTGTGGGGACCCACGCTGCTACAAACATGGCAGAATAGGGCTGCAGGTGCCCTTCAGAGAGGATCAAGTGGAGCCAGATGTGGGGCGCATGTCTGCCATCCTAGTGACTCCAGAGGCTGAGACAGAGGATCACAAGTTCAAGGGCAGCCTCAGCCACTTAATAAAACCCAATCTCAAAATTAAAAAAAAAAAAATTTAAAAAGCCCTGGGGTTGTGACTCAGCGGTAGAATGCTCCTGGGTTCAATCTCCAGTATCGTGCAAAAAAAAAAAAAGAAAGAAAAAAGAAAAACAGAAAGGATCAAATGGCATCAAAATGCTGCTGCATGTCTAGGCACGTGCCTCTGAGTTTCCAGTTACCAATCAGCCACCATGTCCCCTGCCACAGTTCTGGGAGCACAGGGGACACCCACGAAGTAGGTCTTGAATGGAACACATGGTGGCAAAAGCCAGTTTTCAAAACTCCAGAGGCCAACGGCTGCTCCTATGGGACTCTGTACCCTTGAACAGGGTCTGGATCTCCCAGGAGAGCATCTTGCAACTCAGGACAGAAGAGCCTTCTTGCAAAGACTTGCAAGTTCCAAATTGATTCTAAAGGGACAGGGTTGGGGGCCTTGAAGGAGGCCTGGGCTGAACCACACCCCACCCCAGCCTTAAGTCCTGAGCTTTGGTAGGATTAGTAGGTGTTGCTATGCGTGGCAGCCAGAGGCCCTGAGCCACCAGGCTGTGTGTGTTAATTTGAAATCCGGCCTGACAGAGCGGGGCTGTCAATGGGGGTTTGCATATTCATGTGGCAGAGCCCAGAGACTTAGTCACAGGACTCCAGCCTCAATTATGCAGGGGCTTATTCGCCTGGGAGTCAATAAGGAAGCCCCACCAGGATCTGACAGTGATCTTCAGGTGCAGACTCTCCACGAATGGGATCCAAAAGGGACAATGCTTACCTCCATGGTGCATCCTCTCTGGGAGGCCAAGGCAGGATGACTGGGAAGTGCACTGGGTTGAATCCTGACTGGCAACCACTTGTTACTGCCACACCTGTGAAATGGGTACGGCATCTTTATCTCATCGGGTTACTGAACAGATTATAGACATGTTTGGGAAAAAGCTCTTGGTTACTCCTAACACATGGGCATGCTCATAAATGCCAGCTGTTGACACTGAAATCCAACCCCCTTCTCCTTCCAAGTGGCCTTGGTTTCATGGTCCCCGAAATGTGTTGGCTCAGAAGAGAACAAAGTCATCCTAATCATTATTCCAGTGCCACCACCTGCTATCTCCAGGTCTCAGATACTGATTCTGTGCCTCATACTGGGTTATGGCGTCTCATTAACCCTCCCAACTGCCCATGTGGTGGGAGTGCTGGCTTCGTTCTACAGACTGGAAAAGAGATGCTCAGGAAGTCAAATGACTGGTTCAATAATCACGGAGCTACTTTATGCTAAAGGTGAATTTGAATCCAAGTTCAAAGGCTAGAGTTGGGTTCCACTAAACATCACTTAGTAGCTCAGAAAAGTAGCCAGGTGGTGTCCACAGAAAAGTTACTTTTTTTTTTTTTTAACCAAAATAAGTGTTTGAATGCTGATGATAACGAGCATAGAGCACTTCCCAGTAATGTTATAAAAATCCAGGGAATCATTCACTTGTTGAATATGTGGCATTTTACAGATGAGGAAAGCATATGGCTCAGAGAGATTAGATGGACTATATGACAGACAGGGAAGTGGTCTATAAGAAGTAGGGCCTCTGAAGTCAGAGAGACCAGGGCTTTATTCTTGGGGTACTTCTTTGCTGTGTGATTTTGGATAAATTGCTAGCCCTCTCTGTACCTCAGTTTCAACCCTCTCACCAAGTTGCTGAGATATCTATTAAGGTACTTAACTTGCTGAGTCTCACTTTCCCTCATTGTTGAGATTAAGCCAGTGAACATAGATAAAGGATTCAGCTCAATACAAAAAAAATTTAAATTAGAAGGTCAAAACCACTTTTTTCTTCTCCTCTTTCTATTCTGTGTTGTGACCTGGTTGCTTTTAAAGGGCTGGGCTATTTTGATGCACTCATCCGCTGCCCACTGCTCAGTCTGCTTGCAGGGCACCTGTCAGATAACCCAGGGTGGCCCCTGCACCCCCTGGTGCCTGCCTCAGCCTCTTCAGCTAACCTAGAGTTACCAGGCATCCAAAAAGTATGTTTTAGGTATACATGAAAGTTATACAGAACTTTCTGGTTGCTGGTTGTAATTCCCAGTAGTAAATAAATAAGCAAAGAAATGGGGTCTGATGCTGGGGAAGCTGGGGGAAGGGAGGAGTAACTTTTACGTGTATCTAAAACATACTTTCAGATATACATAAATGAAAAGGTCAAAACCACTTTCTCTTTTCCTCTCTCCATCCTGGGTTGTGACCCCGTTGCTTTCAATATACATAAAAGCTACTCCTCCCTCCCTCCAGCTTCCTCAGTGTCAGAGCCCAGCCTGGACACGGGAAATGGAAGGCCCAGGAGGCAGGAAGAGGAGAAGGGAGCCATTCTCCAAACCTCAGGCCTGGGGACCTGGGTGGGCATGCAGGGGAGGAGTCAGCGGGAGCTGAGTTCCTAAATGCTTTGCTGAGTTCCTGCAAAACATCACAACTAGCTTCACCAAGAGAGGCCTGCTTTACCGACTCCCTCAGAGCACCATGTGGGCAAGCATCCACACTCCCCTAAGAAGCACAGCTCTGCCAGGCATGGGGACGCATACCAGTAGTCCCATCGACTCAGGATCCTCCCCGGGGCAGAAGGATCGCAAGTTCAAGACCAGCCTCAGCAACTTAGTGAGATCCTGTCTCAATATAAAAAAATAAAAAGGGCTGGCAATGTGGATTGATGGTAAAGTGCCCCTGAGTTCAATCACCAATAAGAGAAAAGAAGAAAGAGGAGGAGGAGGAGGAAGATAGCTCTGTCCATCAGTCACCCAAAGGTCAAAATCAAAAGTGGTGTTTCCCCTAAGAATTCTCCAGATGGTCACGAAATGCCTCTCTCCCTCCCATACTCTGCATCTCTCGTGAGGTTTG